GGCTCTATCGGTAGGGAAAGTCGAGGATCTGCTTTATGCCTTCGGCCATCTTTGTGCCGACACCCTTCACAGCCTTCAATTCCTCAACAGAGGCCATGAAGACGGACCTCGCGGTACCAAAATGTTCCAGAAGCTTCTTGGCCGTATTGGGACCGCAAGCGGGGAGGCCTTCTACTGCATACTGGGACAGAACCTTGAAGTCCTTCGGCCTAGCGCCACGCAGAGCGATTTCATACCCAAGGCCCTGTTGAGCGTGCCGGCACATCACTTCCAGAAAACTGGCAGTTTCAGCCGCTGACCTGGTGTAGACAGTTCCAACACCCTCGATCACCGAAAGCCAGGAAATAGCACCCCTGAGCGCCTCTGGCGCGATCGCAGAGCGGGTAGCAAAGACATCCCCTTCAAGGATGACAACCGGGCGGCTGTAATTGGCCTTCATTTGTGCCACTTGACCGAACAATCGCTTGTCCATGATGCTAATAACGAAGTCTGTTGCCTGTTTTCGCTCTACACACACATCGTCGGACAAAATGAAGTCGCCAACGGGCAGGTCCTCAAATGCAAGCCTTACCAGTGCACTCTTTTCGAGCAGTTGGGTCACGCCAGACCTTGATTCCCTCATGTCGGCCCGAATCAGTAGTTTTTCTTCGCTCAAAACTCTCCTCCTTTTTAGACCGAACTTACGGCATTGTTTTTCTAAGGCATCACGGGGCAGGGCAGGCGCGCAAGGAAATGTGCCACCACCACCATTGCCCACGTGTCTCTGCCGCAATATAACTTCAACCTCGCGTCAATTTCCCGCTTCCGGTCCGCCGGTGTTTCCGGCACCAACGCCGCCTCAATATAGGCCAGCTGCGCCCCTACGCCGTCCTGGACCTCTTCGAGGTCGCTGTAGTCAAGATCCGGTGCCATAGCCTTGAGCACCTTCTTGATGGAAAACGATCCTCGCATCACTGGATGGTAGTAATGGTCCTTCACGATTGGCAGGAGGTCCACCAGTCGTTCAATCCATGCTTCCAGCATCTGGCGATGCTCCGGATGGCGCTTAGCCAGTTCCTGCATCCTGCCTTTTTCGTAGGTCGCGAAGTAAACGAGGATAGGACCACCTTCGCCTTGCCCGAAGAGGGCCTTCATGGCCTCGATACATCCCAATGAGGGGTCATCACCGGAGAGGTCCAGGAATTCCGCGTGCTCAAATGCGCCTCCCGCCTCACGCTGGATGTGGCAGGACCACTGGAATGGGATCTGTTCAAAAGGACGGACGCCGCGCCAGATGGGTATCGCCAAATCAATACCTTCAAAGTCAAAGTAAAACCGGGGGTAGTCCAAAGCGTCAATGACATCCCTTGCTGAAAGATCAAGCACAGGCTCATCCTTGCGATGTGCCCGGCGGATCCTGCGATAGAGTTCAGTCTTAGCCGGGTTGCATCCGACCAGCATGTCTTCTGGTGCTTCCACAAGGCTCACAATGCCGTTGGCGATCAGCTTCTTGGCGAGTGCCTTGCCGCCAATATCAGGAAGGAGCGTGACAGGGTGCTTTTCGGCATCCGGCTCCATGGCCTTGCAGCGCTCAGAAAAAGGGCATGGGTGCGGCTTATTGCACTGTGCGCCGGTGTTCACAACAGGAATCTGCTTAAGGGCAATGATGGTGCGCGCGCCATCTACCCAGTCATTGACGTGAGGCATTTTGACCAGTACCTCATCAGTGACGTCCATCTGGCGGAAAAGGCCTGAATAGTCCCCGTCGCCGGGATAGCGCCACTGGTTATCCAGCAGATTAAGTTCTGCGCGTTCCATCGCAACACCAGCCTCAGCCATCGCCCACGCCTGAATAGCAATGTCGTCAACATGGTGCGCCTCCGGTTTGGCTGGAGTGACCTTGTCATCCTTAAGCGGAAAGCTTGAGGCTTTTGTCTCCTGCAAGACGTAGTGACCTGGAAAGGCTGGAATCATGGCGTCAGTGCGTGCATAAAAATCGCCCGAGGTCAGGGGTACCTCAACCGCTGGCAATTCAGGATGGGCGGCAAGTTGAGCAAGCGCAAGCTGGCAGGCCACGGCCTTGTCGTCGTTCGAGGCTGGCCAGATTGCATTGTTGCCAACAGCTTCGCGCGCCTTTGCTCCGACCTCGTTACCGTCATTTGTGCGGCGCTGCTCCTGAGCGTCTTTGACCAGATCGTCACCCGGCTCGTACATTTCGAGCCACAGGCGGCGGGGGCATTGCAGGAAGGATTGGACTTGAGTCTTGGTGATCATTTGTTCAGTTTGTCAAAGATCGCCAAAAATTCAAGGATTTAAGTTCTGCGTTTCTGAACCTAAAACTAAGGGACGGTTCCCGATAAAGGTTTCAATGCTTTTGTGAAAGCGCGATGCAAAACCTGATGACCCCTAGACCGTGTCACAAGACCGTTTGAGACTAAGAAAAGGTTGTCGTAGCGTCATTTTCGGAATATAGTCACCACAGGTTTTACCCGTCAGCTGCACGTTGGCAGCCAGCGCAAGTCAGCAATGATTTGCTTCACATC